CGATTGTTCAGTTATACCTTGTCAAATTAGAAGCTAAGAGGCAAGGTTAATTATCCAACTAGTCCAAAGTCGTATCCAATACACATTTGTGTCTATAGAAACTGCACTATTTATTCTATTACTACGTTATGTACCGTAAAATAACATAAATTTCAGCTTTTGTTTAATATCTAATACATTGACAACATAAAAAACTTACAGAGTCATAACAATCTTTAGTGAATAATGGCAAATTCGAAATCAAGAAAAACAGTTATAGTAAAAACATAGTAAAAACTATAGGTCTTGTATTTGAGTAATAAAAACCTTAATTATTTGTAAACTAGTGATATCAATATGGAAAACTTTGTTTAAATTGTTATGGTTTAACGACAATAAGATAAAACAAATAGATTTTAGAGATTTTGATAATTACTGAAGGTCAAATTTTTGTATTTGTTACAAGATTTCATCCAGCTGGAACTAGGAAACTAGGAATATTTTTGTAAAAAGAGTCTGACAGTAAATGGACGAAAAAATAAACTCGCTTTGGTACATCAAGAATTTATATACTTGTATAAATTTAGGGACGACATTATTTCAATGTAATTCATTCCACTTCAATGCCATTGAAATAAGATTATTATTTGCTACAGTGAATACTTCACTTGTGTTATTACAATAATGAATTAAAAATTGTTTACTCTTATCAAGCCTTTTGTAACTGAATAACCCATTACCTATAAGTTTATAACCTATTAATAATTACATGACTATATTTTATATAAAAAATATTTATAAATGAAAAACTTTCACTTCATTTTATAAAAGTAAAAATGTAAATAATTACCTTCGTCTGTTGATTTTACCGCAGAATACTGATTTGATCTTACATTTGTTAAAGGCATAAATCCTGGTAAAAATCCTGAAGATGAAGGCGCAGATAAAGAGCTATTGCAGGCACCAGCTAAAGATTGTGACGGAAATAATCCTGGTGTTGGTATTAAACCAGGTCTTGGAGGAAATGCATACAAAGGTAACATTGAAAGCATATTCGGATGCATATTAGAAAATGAAGTTGGAAAAGACGATGAAAACGCATTCGCAGCTATATTATTGGTTTGTGATTGATCCCTTTTTTTTGAAACTGGTGATTTTAACGGGGACATTAAAGAATTTGTAATTGTTTTCTGCATGTCAGTAGAATTTATTGGCAAAAATGGTGAAATTGATGGTGAACATTTTAGGATCGTATCCATACGTAATAATTTTTTGTTAATTGACTTTACTTCATCTTTAATGGTTGAGTCAAAGTTATGTTTAGATAACATTTCAACATTATCTGAGTTCATAAAATTTTCGGTTGGTTTTATTTTCTTACGCGATTTACGCTTTTTCATTTGGGATTCTAATAGTTCTTGTCCAAACATTTTTTGCTGAAATGATATTCCCATTGGAAAACCATTACAATTAGTTAAATTAAGCGGCTCTTGGTTCATAACATTGTTTGGTATGTTACTAGTTATGCCCTTCATTCCTTTAAGCATTTTTAAATTTTGATTGTTTGGAGCAATTAAACCATCAACTGAAATTAGTTTCGGTTGATTTTTACTACCTGGTTTACGACCACGCTTTTTTGGTTTATTTATTATATTTAATTTATTATCAGAATTATCAGATGTAATATTCAGTTGTGAATTATTAACATTTATATTTAGAGACGTGCTTTCAAGTTCAGATATATTTGGTGAGGCTGGCGTAATAGTTGTGCCCGTTGGCAAACTTATAATTGGGCTATCTTGCAAATTACAGTTTGTTGTAGCTAATGTTGAATTGTTTGCAGCAGTAGCCACATATTTTACGTTTTTTTGTTTTGAAATCTTTTTAAATATATTCAATTTAGAACGGCTAGGTTCAGTTGATAGTTTAATTCCGCTACATGAAAAATTTGGTTCCCTATTTTCAATTAATGTTAGATCTGCGGGTTCCTTCAAATCTTGCTGACCCATTTTAATTTCACGATTACAAATAAAATCATCCGTTATATTTGTTTGTACTTCATTGACAATAGATTCTATATTTGTTAAATTTTTGAAATTATTTTCTCTTGTTTCGCTTTTAATATTAGTGTTTAAAAGGTCTAATGACGCTTTATTTGTAAAAATATTATTTTCCGAACAATCATCTGCAACTGAATTAACATTCATTATGCTTTTTGTATGCATTTCTAAACGTATTTGTTGTTTAAGGTGTTTTTGCTTTGATTGTTTCTTTTTTAATTTATCAAAGTTTAAATCTTTAGAACCCGGTGTAAAAAGAGACATTATTGAAGTATTTATATCTTCTTTAGATTTTGTATTTCCACCAGAATTTTCAAACATTTTTTTATTCTTTTCAGTTTTTGTGTTGAGTTTTTGTAGCATTTTTAGACGTTTCTTTTGCAATTTCTCATTTTGGAGGTCAAAGTTATCAGCTTGTTTATTTAGAGGCCTTTTTTTATTTACTTTAGAATCTTTTGCATTATTTATATTTGAAAATTGGGGAATATGTGACGGTATGGTGGTAGAAGAATTTGGTTTTACAAGTGCTGGAAGTTTTTCATTCTTTGTTTCACTGGTGTTAGTTTTAATCTTTTTGGAAATACAGTTTGAATCCTTCGCAGATAAAATTGCGTTTGTACAATCACTTTCTGTGTTTACAGGATTCGAAAATTTTTCAAGAACATTAGATTTGGTTTCATCGCCATTTAATATATCAATACTGTTAGAAAAATATTCCACATCCGGAACTGGAGGTGTTGATTGTGGCGGAGCATCTAGACCTGCTAATTTTTCTAAAATAGTAAAGAACATACATTAAAGGATTTTAATTTAACTTATCTGTGTACAGTAATTTTACAACTACAAGTGTTTTACAAACCTATGACATCTGGAACAATTGCATCAGGAGTTCTGCCGTCTACTGCTGTCGATATAAGCCCGCCAGTTGTCATGGTTACACTATTAAGTTGTCTTGTTGGTCGTCCTTCGTTATCAATTAAATAGGAGGTGGGAGAAATTTTGAAAATATCATTTAATTTACAAGACTCTAGATGCGCATTTTTAACATCAACCAAATTGTTTAATATCTCTTCACTATTTGCCGAATTTTTTTCAAGTTCAGGATTTGATTTATGCCAATTTTTATCAATTTGGTATGATACATTTTGTTCTTCCGCAGACAATATTGGTGGTAAATATTTGTACATATGTGGCGGGCGAGTATGTGCTTCTTTATTTTTAGGATCCAAAAAATACAAAAATTTACTTTTCTGCAAAGGAAACTTAGGCAAATCTACAGCAAACGGCACAGGTTCCACATTATATAAGTAGGTGATCAACTCATCAATGTTAATATCTAGATTTTTACATGTCAGATATACATCATTCAAATTTGCTTCTGTTCGGTTATCTATACATAACAAAAACATTTATTGTTATTACATATTAAATTACTATATATACACAGATATTATATAACTCTCAAATCGGGAATTTGTAAGGTTTTATTTGATACGAGAATTTATTGAATAACATTATAAATGTATTTAAGACTAATTTTAAAATTATATTAAACATTTTTATCTTCTTATTTTATGTAAACAACTCAATTTGCTATTGCATTGTTATTATACCAAATTTTTTTTTATTTTTAATACATTATTTTGGCAACTAGTATAGTATTTGGATCCAAACAATATAAACAAAATACAATAAGCGCAATAATTTATATGCAAAATTTGTGCAACAACACAAGCTGATAAGTTGTTGTTTAATTGTATATTCTTAAACAAGCGCTTCGCGTAACATAGTGTGTTAAAATTTTGTACGTTTATTATTAAAATATCGTATAGCTAACGATGAGACTTACTGTGCTCAATTTGTCGTCTTAAATCTCGACAAAATTCATTTAAAAACTTATGCAGTATGTCTTGAAGGAGTTCTAAAGATATGGTTTGCGCAGAATTATACCCAATAGTTTGACATATTTGAGCTATTGAAATTCGCAAGTTGTCGCGGAGATATTCAAAACTCATTTCTTAAAACTACGTTGCAAACAATATCACAATTCAAAATAACACTGTATTTATTTTAATTAGCTATTTCCAAAGTTTGGAAGTAAACGTCACTTTCAAAGTTCCGTTTTAGTTACACGCGATTATTAACAAATGAAATGTTCTCCGAAAATAAAACAACTTTGTCATAAAAAATAATCTTTAATTTCACATACACCTAAACACTAAATCAATTTGTACAGGGACGGCAAAATGTCGATAATTTTCGATAAATTTCGATGAGTTAGTTTAAACACCTAATACATGCTTAATTAAAACTTTTATTTGATTTATTTTGGCTCAACCCACACGAGTGTAAAAATTGCTTCTGCAACTAAGATATCTACTTCATTTGTAATATTAGGCCTTTTCGGTGGCTCGCAAGTACGGCAAAAAATGCATGTTGGCCTATGTTGGCCACGCGAGTCATTGGCATCACTGTTGCAATCTGTCAAATGTTTTGTTTTGACAAACGGCAAATCTTGTATATGTGTATATAAATCAGTTATATTTTTAAAAAAATATTATAAAATTAAAATGAACACGGAATTAAAAGGAATGGTAAGAATATTGGAAATTTAAAAATAAAACACTAAGATAAGTAAATTTTTGTAGGTACTGTCGATGTTGGGAGAAGAAAGCAACGTTTTGCAGCGGCCGGGGGATGCAAGTTGTTTCACGGATTTTTTAAATGTTATAAATGCCGCAACAACGTCCTCTGAAGATTCTCTTCCTTTCGTGCCAAGTAGCACTCTAGAAAACACTTCGTTTCCTTTGTGGTCCATAGTTTGGGTGTATTTCTATAAAAATTTTTTTAGAAAAACTTCAAAAATTATGTTTGTTTATTAATTTTACGTATGTAAACTACAAATTAAATGAAATAAAATAAATGTTACTTGGTAATAACTAACATAATAAAAAATTCAATGTGCTTAATACTTACGATTTCTCCATTCTTATTATTTCTTCGTTATTTTTCAAGATTTTTCAAATTTTTGAATTCTGTTTGAATTTTTATTTCCTCAATTTTTGACATTTGATTGCACTATTCGTTGGAATTTTCAATGAAGGTTCACAATAGTTCGCTTATTGCGTTGGTAACATTTTTTTTTGTACTGGCCGATGTGGCTGGCCAGCATAACTATGCTGGCCGATGTAGAGAAAATAGTGTTGTTGTTTTGCGTACATTGCGGCCAGTATAGGCCTGCATAGGCCAACAACTTGCTGTTTTTTGCCGTACTTGCGAGCCACCGAATACGCCTATTGATAGGCATTTAATTCATTATATACCTATCATAATTAATATGATTTTTTTTTTAAAAATAATAATAATTAATATAAAAAATTTTGTATTGAAATATAATAAATCAACCATTTATAATAGCCATGATTTTTCTTTCTATGTTATAAAGAGCAACATTAAGTCTAGCTGAAACAGATTTACACCACTTTGAATATATGTTAAATGCTTATTTTTGACATATGTTTATTGTTATGTTGTGTAAAACATAACATATAAAAACTGTAAACACTAAATGAATAAATAAAAGAAAACAAAATTAGTAATAGAAGGGCAATCGTAAGCATTTTTATTCTTTTGTTTTCATATATTGCAATCCATTATTTCTGTTCATATGATTTTAACGGATGACTGGAATTTTGCAATATTTTCAGTGAACATTCACAATAGGAATAACTTCCACTTAGTGAGGAAGAGGCACGACACAAAATAAAAAACATCGCCAATAAATATAATTAAGTTTGGATTTGGATTAAGTGAAAAATCGCATATTTCTTCATATATTATTATTAAAAGAAGAGAAAAAGAAATAAGCGACTAGAAGCGGAACGCTATCACAATGGAAACATTTTAATAAGATGAATGAAATGCTAAGAAGACTGGAGCATTTCAATATTTAAAACGTTCAGGAGAGTGCTGGTAAGAAGTAAAAATACATTTTTAGTAACTATTTCGAATCTCAACAGTGCACATAGGAACATCGAATTCACACATGAACGAGAAATCAACGGCTGCCTACCATTCTTAGACCTACTTACACAACACAAAAACGGGATTTTCGAATTTAGCATCTATAGGAAACCAACAATTACAAAACGTGTCATAACCAACAATTCAAACCATTCTTTCCAACACAAAATGGCTGCCTTTTATCACATGATACATAGAATGCTCACATTACCCCTTACACAAGCAGCCATCAATGAAAAAACTATATATATTAAGGAAATAGCGGACATCAACGGATACCCTCAAAACACCATCGTTAGAATCATAAAATAAAAACGAAGGCAGCTACAGTCCAAGAACATGACTACGTTGACAGCAGAAAAACCAAAACAAAGAAGAGTCGCCGTAGTATACAACAAAACCGTCTCCAAAAGTCTAAAATCAAAGTTAAAAAGTTCAATGTCGACTTAGTTTACTCCAGTAGGCCACACCAACTCGAAAGCCTATTATCATCCGCAAAAGACTCAATTGGCCCATTCGAAAAATGCAGAGTATACATAAAAATGTGTCTCCTGCAACAAAATATACATCGGACAAACAAAAAGACCCTTATCAGTAAGACTTGAAGAACACCTAAAGGAAGCAAGAGAAGCACCGAAGAAAATAAACAGGCCACAACTTTACTCAACGGCGAAAAGGGAAACGTATCATCATGGCTTTTTAGATACATCCCAAAACACCAACAATCAGTCGACCTAACTACCTGAATGTAACAATAAAACAAAACCAATCCAAACCCCGCCACCATTTCTTGCCTGTTACCCGCAAGGACAGTAACCTTACCAAAATTAGTATTAAGAAATAACATGTAAATAGTATAAACAGTTTTTAAGATGGCTATTTATAAATAGTTTGTAAGATTGTATCCCTAAACATGTTTGCCGAAACACGTATAGGGATACACAACATAAAACTTTCGAAATAAAAGTTAATTTTGAGAAGTTTTGTCCCTGCAAATAAAAATTTATTGCCACGTCTCTGGACAGAGGCTGTTTAAGGTAGTTTATTAAACATAAACTACCTTAAACTTTTTATCAAAAAAGTGTTATTTGTGTTATTTACATTAATTTGTAAATTGAATGTTCGCGAAAAAATGATATTTGTGTTTGTGTGTGCTTAAACAAATGCTCGCTTGTTTTTTTTGGAAAACTGATCATGTGGCAATTATACGGATGCCTTAAAGGAACGTAAAACAGTCAACTCCGAATGGTATAAAACCATGTGTTTGCCGGAAGTCTTCAGTGAAATTCGGAAAACAAAAAAGCGCCGTCGGATCATTCTCCTTCAAGACAATTTGAGTGTTCACACATCTCGTTTAAAAACAGAGTACTCGTATTTGAACATCCAAAAAATTGAATTGATTTGTCATCCTGATGGCCGTCCGATCTTCCGATCGTTGTCCACGCAATTTATTTATGACGGTTAGGAACAAGAAGAAATTGCAAAAGTATATTAATTATAAATGTAATTCATACGAATTATACGAGTGACTTTTTGAATAAATCAAATTTTTTTCGGCAAATAAACGTTTTTTTTCTACATAATCACCTTTTAGCCCGATATATTTAGTCCAGCGTTTTTCTAATTTTCTTATTCCCTCAAAATAATAGGTTTTCTCAAAGCTCTCATATTACGCGTTTGTTTCGGTAATGATTTCTTCATTCGACTCAAATGTCTTACCGCCCAGCGATTTCTTTAGGTTTGAAAACAGAAAATAGTCGCAGTTGGCTGAATCTGGAGAATATGCTGGATGGGGTAGCAGTTCATATCCCACTTCGTGGATTTTGGCCAGTAATGCTGCACACGAAATTCACTTTTTCCCATTTTCGTAAAAATGCACGAGGTTGTCTGCTTTGAACGGCTATCAAACACCAACTAAACGACGTAGCTTCCTAAAATCAGAAAGTTGCCCACTGGTAGATTACAGCTGACGGTAACACTGTTGCATTTGGAGTTACTGCGCGGAAAATTCAAAAAGTCACTGACTTATCAAATCGCCCTCGTATGTGCTCTGAAAAAAGGTATATATGTGTGGCAACAGTACAAGAAGTATGTCAACCCAAAAATATCAAATTGTCACTCTTGATGAAAACAAGACACCTAGCAATGCTGTAAATATAAAACACATGTAATGGTTAATTGTTAAGGTTCGGTGAGAAAAGCAGTATTGTATTTTGTTAAGTAATTGCATATTAAGAATAAAAACAGTCAATAATAATGACCAAAGTGGTGACCCCGACGCGCAAAGTGAAAAACTTACAGAACTGATTTTTTAAAAGTGTAAAATAACATTAGTTTTAGAATCGCTAAACAGCATTCACTAAAACTATTAACGGGCTTATCCAACACGCACATCGTCATCACAAGTATCAGAACAAGAGAACTTGGAACAACAATATATAGTAAAAACTCTATACATAGAACTGCAGCGAAAAAAAAAATAGAAATGCAGAAGCCATGAAACATGTAAAATCTGTGAAGGGGAAAACTGAGTTCATTGAACGAAAAAACTCGGACAACTCGAACTTTTATTTTTAACGGTGACAAAAAAGAGGAGAATAAAAGCGGCAGTCTGGGAAACGAGAATTAATCTGGGAGATGTGACTTTGAACTACGATGTTAATACCTGTGTTTAAAAAAATATAAATATTTTCGTTCACCACAAAATGTTTTCTAATAAAAAAAAACTCCAGATTTCTTTTATGGAATATAACTAATATTGTGTTAAAGTGCTGAAGTGAAATTGTTGAATTAAAAATAATTAACAATAAAAATTAAACGAAGTAAAAAGAAAACTAAACTAAAGAATTGTTTTGTTTTTTTTTCCTTCTTCTTCTTGTTCTTGAGTTAGTGCTATTACGCACTTTTACTCTATAATGGCTGGGGAGCTTATCACTACTAGGCTTTAACTAGGGTAAGAAGTCATATCATTTATTTGTCTTTTAGATGATGACGGACCTTAAATCAACATATCTTCCTGAGAATCCAGAAGTGGACTTGAGAATTGTTAGAGCGGTTTTGAGCTATCTGTAATTGCTTTAAGGTAATATTTGAGGCTTTGCTATATGTAATACATCCGTACAGAAGTGCTGGTCTAATTATTTGCGTATAAAGTAACTTTCTGTTTT